ACTATACTTTATAGTATAGGCAATGCTCCAACATAAATTGTTTTGTTTTCCGTTAGTGTAGAAATTTTGGTCCAGGTAATCATCGGAAAGAGTTCTAATTTTATAACCTATAATAATTTTTATAAAATTTTATATTATTATATATCATTAGTTTATATTATTATTAAAAAAAATAAAAATATATAAGTTTTAATTGTTTTATTATCTAAATAAATATTCTCAAATTTGATTGGTTAATATATTAAAAATACATTTAGAGAGAATATTTTTATATATATATTTTGAAAAATAACCTGCATTTAGAGAATATAGAACATGCATTTATTTTATAAGTCCTGACTTGGGACCAAGCTATTTTCATGCATATAGAGAGAAAATGCACTTAGAGGACATGCACTTAGAGGGAGTTGACTGTATACATTAAATGCACTGATATATGCAGTTTATTTCGCTAAGACAAATTAATAAAGGTTTGTGTTCAGCACTGTGTGCTGGTGTACCTTCAATAAGGACCTAACAAAAAGAATTTCTTTCGATCAACTATTAAAATTTCAACTTTAGTTATGTTGACTTTCACTTTTAATGATTTAACAAATTAAATTTCTTCAAAATAGAAAAAAATCTATTAAACTTTTTAGTTTTAGATTTTCTTTACTAAGAAGATTTTAAATTTAAATGAGTCTAAAATGGAATAACAGTACTTATTACGTTTGATTAAGCGTTAAAAGATTGTTGTAATTATTACGCTCATATTAATGTATCGATTATTTGTTTTGAAAGCTTCGAACGTTAAGATAAGATATCTATTTTTTTATGCCGGTTAGAAATTTGTTAAGAATTAATTGCTTAACATGTAAAAAATGTAAAAGTAATGATTTGAGCGACATTTATTAATGGTAAATTTTTGATGAAAAAAAGGTAGTTTGTCTCGCTGAATTATTCATCAAATAATAATTCTAAATTTTGGAAATACATAAAAATTGATCATATGAATAATACGCGAAGCATAATGTTTGATCTTCATTTATTTAGTAGCTTAAATAATTAGAACTTTGTGATTTATTTATATATTTAAAATAAGATAATGATAAATAATGATAAAAAATAATAATTTTTTTTTTTAAAAAAAAAGTAAAGCCTTAAACATTTTTAAGGTGTAGAGGGATCTGGTTTAGGGTGTTTATAGCAAGGTCAGTTACTTTTGGTTGATTCTTTAGCTTAAGGTATGGTTTTGTTGAGAATTAATTGTTTAACATGTAAAAAATATAAAAATAATAATTTGAGCGACATTTATTAATGGTAAATTTTTGATGAAAAAAGGTGGTTTGTCTTGCTGAATTGTTCATCAAATGATAACTCGAAATTTTGAAAATACATAAAAATTGATCATGTGAATAATACGCGAAGCATAATATTTGATCTTTATTTATTTAGTAGCTTAATAATTAGAACTTTGTAATTTATTTATATATTTAAAATAAGATAAATGATAAATAATGATAAAAAATAATCAATTTTTTTTTTTTTTAAAAAAAAAAGTAAAGCCTTAAACATTTTAAAGATATAGAGGGATCTTGAATTTCAGAATTCTGGTCCTGGTTTAGGTCATTTATAGCAAGATCAGTTACTTTTGGTTGATTCTTTAGCTTAAGGTACAGTTTTGGTATAGTTGGTGATTTTTTTCGTCTACCAGTCTTAACTCTTGAGGCAATTGTTCGAGTAACTTTTTCAGGACTTGATACATTTGTTGGAGATTGGCTTGGGCCATTCAACCACGGAAGATTAGCCGGATTTGTCACATTTACAGCTGCTTTTTGGTATTCACAAAAGTTTACATCATGGAGATGAACAACGTAAGTATCATCAACGATTAAAAGTTCCCCATTCATAAAGAGTATAAACCCCTTTTTCAAAGAATTGGTAGTGTGAATGAGATGATTTGCCAATTTCAAATGATAACACTCCAGTTTAAGAACTGTGTTATCTTGGTCCATAAAATCTCTTGTCTCAACAGAAAAAGAGATGTCATCATGGTCAGAATCATTTCGTGCAGGTTCAGTCACGACGGCTGTTATGTTAATAAGGAGAAGGAACACGGGTAAATCACTTGGATTGATAGCAAGACGAATAACATTATATAAAACAATCTAAAAAAAAATTATATTTAAGAGAAAGATATCGTAAATGTGATTATATTATAGTTTGGTATTGAATTAAATATACTTTTAAGATAGGGAGCTTCTTTTCATCATTGTCTAATTCTTCTATGAATCTAAACTTTCCCATTACTATTATTACATCTTTGGTTGAAAAAGTTGACAGAGTTTATATAGTTGAATCTTGAGTATACTCGTCCTAAGAATAAAATCTGACCAAAAGAACATTTAAGGAAGAAGCATTATTTCTGAGACGCATTACTCTCGAAGCTTTAACAACAGTAAGGGCTTTGCTTGTGGTGGTCTCGTGATAGTCGGTAATGTAACAAACAATTGATATAGTAGATGGCATTTTTTTTCAGGTTAATTGATTTTTATTTTATTGTAAAACAATAGTAAGCGAAAATAGATACAGAAGAAATTTGCTCATTTTATGCGCATTTATATACTTTGGAACAGCGATAATTTTGAAGTAAGATTTACCATTATCTCAACCATGTTTTTTCATATGTAAAACGTTTTCTGTGAATGTTTTTATGCACGAAGTGTTTTCTGAACATATTTTTTCATATGTAAAATATTCTTTGAAAATGATTTTATATGTGAAATGTACGGGTATTTACATTCTTTATTAAAATTCTAAAGTATTTAAATCAAGTTTTTTGCGATTACATGCTATTACTACATTCTTTTACAAGAATTAAGATCATCTAAGATCATAATTATTAATAATTATCTTGTGTCTTACATGAAAAATCAAGTTTTTTGCGATTATGCGCCATTACTACATTTTTTTCACAAGAATTAAGATCATTTAATTTAAGATCATAATCATAATTAATAATTATCTTGTGTCTTATGTGAGAAATCAAGTTTATTTCAAAGTTATCGATACTTCACATGTTACTCTGAGGTGTCCAATGTACAATGTAGATCAAATATATGCGTACAGTAATCCCATGTAATACAAGAATAAAAATATCCCGTAATTATTATCGAAAATCTAAAATTTTTTTTTTTTGTACTGTTATATTATGTAGTATGACGATCAAATATTAAAATAGGCTAACAATGATTATTAATTAATTAAGCACAGCTAAAATAAAACAAAGAAAAACAACGAACAAATTCTTTCATTAAAAGCTTCTCGCTATTTCTTTGAAGATCGCTGATTATCAATTCATCAGACCAGTAAAAAATCCGAAGAAAATAAATAAAAAAATAAAAAAAATAATACTCGAAAATATAAGCAAGTATAGTCTAGAGTATTCATAAATAGTAAAAGAATACAATTTTAGTACATGTTAAATATTCTCTTTTTTTTACAAATTCACAAAAAAAAAAAAAAAAGAAAGAAAAACCTTACTGTTTCTTCTTATTTTTATTTTCTTTTCCATACATACATGTTCATGTACATGTACATGTACACGTTCATATTCATGTACATGTACACGTACGTTCATGTTCATGTACATGTACATATATATAAAAAATGTAAAAAGGATATTTCCTTTTTTGAATATTGTAAGGAAATTGATTTGACAATCATATGCACGATCTTAGCACAAATTAGCACAAATTACCATAAGCAGCAGAAGTACCAACTATAGATAGTAAAGTTCATTTACACTACTTAAGCGTATACGGCAAACTCATTACACAGCATGAACGTATTTGGTAAAAAGGGATGAGTAAAATTAAATATCGTTAATAAAGGCCGTGAAGGCCCTGAGAACAATAAGTTCCATTTGCTTATAACTATCGATCCCTAATAAAAACTACCAAATTGACCCAATTGACCCATATAAACTCAAGTCTCTAAATAAACCCGCTATACTAAAATACTTCTTACCCTGATCAATCACTAAGTGGCACAGTGAAATATCTTCGTCCATCGATTGTCTTGCTCACGTGACTTCGAAAGAAAATTGTTTTCCGGTTGATTCTCGACGGACTGAGGACTGCCGTGGTTTTCCAGCTATCCCAACGTACCGTGGACAAGTTGTGGTTGTTTTCCAGTTTCCCAACGGATTGTGGAATCTGTGGTTGTGTTGTTCCGGTTTGAGGTCAAGTGGAAGATCTCAGCCATGGTTTGATTGAAATTAGTGTGTATAGAAAACATAAACGTTAGTGCGTACTAACAAGGTCCAATACAAGAATAATACCTACGTCTAAAATCACCCACTCGCCAAATCTAAACGCCTCTTCGACTAATACTAAGCCAAACGTAGGTTACACAAGGCCTCGATTTGATTAGCGACCGACTCGCCGCTTTAGGTTGTCAATACTCACCTGTATTCGGATCTCTGTTTGGAACCTCATGCCGATCTCCCACATTTGCTGCGTTTGGCTCGTCAGCTTTGTATCATAATGAGTGATCAACATATGGAATTATATCATACGTACGGTATGTAAAAATCATAATTCTTTCTTAAAGTGAACAAATGAAAACCATAACTATTACCAAAAAGGAATTCGCATAAGCGACATAGAAAAGGTTGATTCCAACCACCCCTACCACATTTCATGTTGCACAAGAACGTGTTCGTACTGGTACTTTCCGCATTTACATTCATATTAACAGATCTTGAATGAATGCGTTTTCATACTAACTACACCGTAACACCGATGCTGATTTGATATAATAGTTTAATTTATGGTATGTTTTTTAAACTATAAACCATACTGATATTCTGTAATTCTGTAATCCCGATATAAAAAGCCCCACCGTACATACCAGGTACTATCGCAATTGGATTTTATCAATAGGGGGTTTCAAAGTTAAAATCAGAGAATCTCATTTTATTTTTCCGATTTATAATTCAACATAATAAAAATACTATTGAAAAAATCCTATTTATTTTCGAAATGCGTCACTTATTTGTTAACTTTGAAACCCCCTAATATATCTGTTTAAATTGAAATGGGCTCAAGTCAGTCAACTATTTATTCCTTTGACTTATCAAACAAAGTCGTTATAATTACCGGTTCTACTGATGGTTTGTATTTTTATCAAAACGAAAATTTCTTATAATTACTGTAATAATCATTCTTTTTATCAAAACGAAAATCTCTTGTTTTTTTTTTAGGAGTTGGTAAAAGTTTAGCCCGAATAATCTCATCATATAATCCAAAGCGCTTAATACTTCCAATTCGTAATAGAAAAAAAGGCGAACTTCTCCTTGAGTATATTAAAGAATCTGAAGATGGAAATGTTGAATGTATTGAATTATGGGATATGGATTTGGCGGATTTACATAGTGTAAAGAATTTTGCTGATAAGTTTATTAAAGAGGTTGGAGAATTACACTATTTGTGGAATAATGCTGGTGCGTATAATCGAATATCAGCTGCACTTAATTGTCTTTTTTTGTATTTAATTGTAAATGAATAATAGGTACCTTATGTTTTACTGGATTGGTGAAAACAAAAGACAATTTTGAACAACAATTCCAAGTAAAATTTATTTTAAGCCCTATTTATTTTTTACTCGCTTAACAAGTTCTTAATATTTTTTAATAATGCTTTTATACAAGGTTAATCATCTTTCTCACTTTCTCCTGACTTCCCTTCTGCTTCCGACTATAAAAAACTCGGCAACATCAGAATCTCCGTGTAAAATAATTCACACAAGTTCATCAGCACAAAAACTCGGTAAAATTGATTTTGACAATCTTAATGCTGAAAAATCTTGTGGCTACGGTGGATTTTATTCGGATGCAAAGTTAATGGTTAGTGAATAATCAATACATTTAAGATCTTGTATATTATACTCTTTTTATGATTTAATTTATATATGAAAATTTTTTAGAATATTATATATAGTAATGAACTTAATCGTCGCCTTAAAGGTTCAAGTAAGTAATTCCATCAACTTTGCCATGTGGTAGATTTTAATTTCTTTTTTCATAGTAACTCAAATTTATTATTGATTTTACAAAAAAAATAAATAAATAAAATTAGACGTTACGTCCACAGCATGCCATCCAGGATTTATATCAACAAACTTGTTTCAAAATTCAAATCTTAGAAATTTTATTATGTTCGCTAAATCACCTGACATTGGTGCAATAAATGTAATGTACCCTGCATTAGACGCGAACATCGATGAAGGTGGAAAATATTTTGAGAATTGTAAAGAAGTAAAACCAAACGATCAGGCATTAGACGAAGATTTGGCTAAAAAGCTTTGGGAACAGAGTGAAAAATTATTAAATAATTATAACGCCAGTCTTTTAAAATGAATATTTTACAGTTAAAAGTCTAGAAATGATTCCGATACTAAATTCTTCTACTGATTGATAATGATTATTTTTCATTTTTCAGAATATTTCGTATTTAGAATTCTCGGCACATAATATACTCATTATTTGACTAACTTTTACAGTAAAGATACTGCAATGTGAATATTCTCATTCAAGATAATATCATATTTATTTTGCGCGAATTTTATAAAATGCTCTTATATCAAAATTATAAGTATACTAGTGATTAGCTCGTCAACTCATAATTCAAATAATGTAATCGAGTCAAAATATATTTTATAATTGTTATATAAATAAATTTCAAAAATAAGCTTTCCTTTGTTAATCAAAATATAAAATTTATTTTTTACAAATAGTAATTTAAAACTAAAAATATATGAGCTTAAATCAATCCATATATAATCACTCCTTTTACAAACGTTTCCTTATAAAATCACATCTTTATTGCTCTTTACAGGTTTAAGATTAGAGCTAATTTATCTGTATTCCATGTTTATTATTTATGAACATTATTTTATTTTGAGAGGACATGAAATTGATGATTTATAAAAATAGCAAAAAATATTAGAGCATTTTTGACTTGTGCTATGTATAAGTCAAATAAGGATACCCATTGTAACGATTATTTCCTGTGTCTTCTCACTTCCGTATTTGTCTAATTCTTTAAGTCGTCACTTACGTACCTTCCATAATTGTACCATCATAGTCATGTTAAATCTTACCTTAGTAGTATTAGGCATTATTACGTATTCTTGTGGCTTAATTCCTGCAAGCTCGTCAACGCTAAAATTATAGCGTCTACGCTAAAAATCTTATGATCACGTTCTAAGAAATTAACATGTATATAAATGCTTGTTCTCGCCCTTTGATTGGAGAATCTCAATCCAAGCATCTGATGTGGACTAAAATTTGTGATAGTATCAGTCCTTTGTGCAAATGCTAACATTTGAAACTATACGCCTACATCAGGCCGAAGTTGACTGCTTCTGACAATACATATCGTGTTAGCTTCTGTGAACCAATTTCGTCTTTGAATTTCACACGAATTTGCTATTCAACGGTGGATTTTTTGCATCAAACTGACACAAATTGTTAATATAAATAACATGTGGGTTATGAAAATAAGAACTGAAGAATGAAACTTACCTTAATGAATAGGTTATCATCAATAATTTCAGCATCGTACTTTGCATTTATCACACCACCAACTTTATTAAGTTCATTTACAGGAAGAAAAATCTTGATGTCATCGTGATTTTGATTTTCTTTTAATGATTTTTCAATCATTAAGATCTATTATTATGTTCGTTGGCCATACATATTTTGCACACCATTGAATCGATATTTTCAACCCTCCCGAATTTCTGGAAGTTTTTGTTTGCAATTAGACATTTCTGAGTTTATCGCTTTAACATTCATTTAAGCGAACCAAAGATAAAAACGCAATATTCTAAATTTTATTTATAAATCTGAAAGACATTTTGTATAACCCCTATGGAAATCCAAATTTATTGTCATGAAATTAGGGTCGCGATTTGAAAATATAGGTCCTGCTAAAAATCAAAATGTACTATGATTATCAATTCTAACCAAACCCAAGCAAAAACATTGATATTGACCCATTTGAACCATTGTTATTAACCCACTAAAAAAACAGTACATCGTTATCGACTACTTAAAAAAAAATAAAATAAAAAAACTCTTTGTCGTATTGCGACATAGTATTTTCGTATAATATCACACGTCATATGAACCTTTCGATTAATACTTCAAAGAGAGAATTAAACCTTATTTATTTTACAAGTTAGTCGTTTATTTAGTCATTTTTTTTCCCATTGAACCATGTAAACAACTTTTCCATATTCGACCTTCATTATTATCTAAGTAAAGTTTTTTCTCGAAACAAGCTTTTACAAAGGTTTGTCTTTAACCAGTTTGTTTTTCAGAAAAAGATTTCAAATGCCCAGCGTGTAGTAGCTTTAGATGAAGATGATGAGTTTATGATTTCTTTACTTGTTTTAACCCATTTATAGTAATTAATTCAAAATTATTATTGTTTATACAGTAGAATTAGTTTGCAGCTCCTACAGTAGGGTACGAGGCACAGAGGGCATGCCAAAAAGTCAATAGGCCTGCCCTAATCATGTGATATCAAGATCAAATATGATTGGCTAAAGATTACAAATACTATTCTACAATAATTACTTTTATAATTATATCTTCTTTATTATTAATAATTATATATATACGGTATAGATAAATAAACTAATGATTTTTAAATAAACATGTTCTATTAATGTATTTTCTGCAATTACATCTAATTATATAATTTAGTTATATCGCATCCTTGAATTTATGATACAATGCCGAAATCTCTCGTAGCTCCAATTCTATTTAGATAACATTCATTTTACAACTTTTAACATTTTATTGATGTCAATCATGCGTAAACTTAAGTTGCAAGTGTAAAAGCTTAAAAATTTCATTTTGATAGTCATATTTAGATAATTAATAAATTTCGGATTTATGTACCAGTATGCTTCTCATTGATATAAAACTTTTCAAGAAAGTTATGACCGAGGAAATTTGACTAAAGGACAAAAAAAACTCGAGTAAATTTAATTAAAGAACTCTTGCAAAAATTCATTAATACTCCTTTTTCCTCACCTAACTTTTATTCTTGACTTAGAACCAACCGTAGCTTAAATGTATAGTACACTCTAAACCTATTACCCATATACTTACTCATAGATACAAGGTCGATTATTAATTCAATTTTTTGGCTTTGTAAAATCAGTGTACCTATAACCTTCAAAAAGAAATAACTAATTAATAATCTGTGCATATTCTATTTCGAATATCTAATTCTAATTATGGGTTAAGAATAGTGCCAAATTGTGTACTGATATTCAACCAGCCTCAGCATTCTGCAATAATCTATTTAAATTTTATAATATATAAATGAGACCCATTTATTTTAAAAAAAATCTTAAAGATAATGATCTCTGAATCAATTACCTTTGAAAAATTAAAATAACTTCCCTTCATAGTCTCCAATGTATGGTATAATAGAATTAAACATTATATTGTTCATTGTTATAGTTAAATGTCTTGTGCTGCTTCTTAATGCTGAAGATTATAGAAATAAGAATTAAACTTATTTGTGAAGCCGAAATGATTTAAAATAATCATTGCCTTTACGTTTCTTCTAATAATTTTAATTATCTATAAAAATTAAACAATTAAATAATAAACAATATTTAATTAGAATAAGAATGATTAGGGTGCATTAATGCATTTGTTATAAAGCCCATAGAATCAAATAAAATATAAATTAAAAGACTATTAAAAAAAAGTTTCGTATGTGCCTCTTTTTCACTGATAAATTAAACCAAATTATGCAACCTCCTCCAGGCTTTACTTACATGCTTCCCAACCAAGGCTGTTGATGGACTGGCTTTTGGTGCTTTGAAGATAAAAAAACAGGCAATAGATATACTGCCAAGTGTAAATATTGCTTAATTGAACTTGAAGGAAAGCTCGATAAACTTCACCAGCATGTTATGAAATGCAATAGCTAGCAAGTTATTGATAAAGCTAGCTACCTTAAAGAAGCTAATAAAAAAGCAATCTCTATCCACAAAAGAGCTAAACATGTTCAAGAAAGTATTATGGATGAAGAAGTTCAAAAAGAGTCATTAGAGTCATTAGTAACACCCACCAAGCAAGAAAATATTCTAAATTGGTGTGTCAGGCCTATGTCCTATATTCGATTTGAAAAACTTCATATAAAACTTTTGTATGCCATTATTTATGGCAATATCCTATTTAACTTTGCCAAAAACCCCTATTTTCAAGACTTCCTTCAAGACTTATCTCCCATTTACCAACCTCCTTCCAAAAACATATTATGAAGATATATCTTAACAGAGACATTTTCTAGCTTCCTCCAAAAAAAGCTATCTACTATGTCTACATTTATTGATGCTACGATTTGTCTAGATAGTTAGACAGATACTTCCGTAAACTCCATCTATGGATTCATAGTTCTAAAAGAAACTCAGAAGCATATTGTTGACATTATAGATTTATCTACAGATCGTCACAGAGCAGCTTTTATTAAAGAAAAAACTAAAGATACCCTTACTAGAAATAGTTTCCAAATGGAGTCTGCTATTGCTTGTGTTACTGACAATCCTCCTGTAATAGAGTCCATGAGAAATCTTTTAAAGGTGAAGTAATAATAAATATCTAATTCAAAAAAAAAAAAGAATAAAATAAAATAAAATAAACAAGTAATAAAACAAAATCAAAAAAAAAAAATTAAATAAAATAAAATAGAGCCATAATTAGTTAAATGCTTATTGTTGGAATCTTTTTTCACTTATGCACAAAATTTTTTTCAGTAATAATAAAAATAGATGTGCAGAATTTGATAATTTTGGACATTATATACTGTATAGTTAACAAGACAATACTATTATTAATATTAAACTACTAGACAATTATAATAAAATTAATGTCTCTAAATATAGTTTTTTCATGTTAAGTAAAAGAATACAACTGTAATTTTTTGCCATTCCATATATTATTGCTTCATTTACTTATCTTCCTCATACTTAGAGATGTGAATAACTTTTATGATTCACCTAACTTATCATAAAATATATTGAATATGAAGTAATTAATAATTTATACTCACTATTTTAGGATGAGTATCTGAATATCATACCTATAAAATTCTGCTTGCATGCATTCAATCTTATTGTGAAAAATATTGCTAGATTTACCAGTACTGACTCTATCTGCAGCAAGAATTAAAAGCTTATAAATTTTTTTACTTCCTCACATATATGGCTTTGAACTTTACATAATTGGCATTTTTTATTTTTAAGTACTTTTTGCAAAACTAGATAGTACTCTATTTCTAAGGTTTGCTTGGGCATATCTACTTTTGAAAAGGGTTTTCAGTATTGTCTTAGATTAAGTGAGAATAAAAAAACAAAGTACCCAAAAATCAGAGATAATATAAAAGCTATCATTAATGACTGATATTATTTTGCCAGTAATGACATGCTAGTTAAAGTGATTAAGCCTATCGTCAATACAATTGAAAGGCTCGAGGTAAGAGAAGAAACTTTAGCTGATATTTTCAAAGAATTAATCCATGTATATTTAGAAATATCTAGACTCGATATCCCTATTATTGGTTTCAAAACCCATGCAATCACTGTTATTAGTAAAAGAGCAAGAGAATTTTTCTGATAAAATTTACTTTATTGCTCTGTTTTTCTCCCAACTTATAAGAATCTAGATATATAAATGAAGATCGTATTATATATGGGTGTTTGGAATTGGCCAGAGTTTGGAATTTCAAAAAAAAGATGCTATTCTTCTCTGCAAGGAACTAATTGGATATAATAATAATGACCTCCTTCGACTCCTTATCTATAAATCTACAAAATTTCCCTCAAGCATTTTGGACAAAATTTACTGCCAACTCCCCTCTTCTTTGTCAGTTTGCTTTAAAAGTTCTTGCAATTGTCCCCATAGTGCCGCATGTAAATGACTTTTTTCTTCTTTAGGTTTTACAAAAACTAAGTCAAGAAACCAACTTTCTTCTAATACACTTTCTAGACTTGGACATATCAAAAGTGAACTTCAAAAGGCTATCTTAACTAAAAAAAAAAATATTAGACAAAAAAAGTGCCAAGTATCTGGGCCTCTTGAAGAAAGCATTAGTATATTATTTGATAATGATGAGGATGGAGATAATGATGAAATAGATCAAGAAAAAATAGAAGGATTAGATGAAATTAATAAGGATATAGATTTAGTTGATGTTGAATATGAGAATACATCCGCAATAGAAGAATTTTTCAACTTTGATGTATTTGAAAGAGATCAGAAAGCTTTTTTATTTAATAATCATTCCACACTACAAAGTTTAGATAGTAAAGATGGCTGGTCAATTGAGGATATTATTTCTTCTTAGACGAAATGGTATGTAATCAAAACTTGTACTCTTATTAAATTATAATAATTTGCAAATTAATCTAAAAATTACAGTATTTAAGGTTATAGAATTTGAATAAGTAACACATTTTTAAGATAAACTTACCGAAAGTTATTCGATAATATAAAATTATGAATTTTAAGTAAAAATCTTGTTATTTTTTAAATTAAAAGCATTCTCAAAATATATAAAAAAAATTTGAAGTCAGTTCTTGTATTTTAGTATATCACACTGTAAAGTTGCTCATAAAAAAAAGAATAAAGTATAATAA